TGAACATTTGGGTGGCATTATGCAAATATTTCCATATAGTGTGGTAGATATGTGGGGGCGTGTTAGAATGAGCCGTTTTAGGGGGGCGTGGCAGAGTCTTAACTTTGATAAAGAATATCTCTTTGGTTTTGAGACTTTAGTCTTTGCAACTTCAGGGATCTTATCTATGCACAATCAGCTTGTAACACTCCAAAGAGAAAGGAAAACTTGAAATCGCATCATATGACCCCTTTAAGAATATTCTTTATGAATCACACTACATTCGCCGTGCTGTATATGATTCACTAAAAAGAACCGGCTAAAAGAATCATTAGTCCGGTAACCGAACTACACTGTATTTATTTGATTCACTAAATGAATTGGCTCTTACTAGTCTTTTGCACAGGAATCGGACAATATTTGCTGCGCTGTATTTTGATTCACTAAAAAGAACCGACTAAAAGAATCATTTGTTCAGAATCTACATGGATTCACTAAAAAGAATCGACTCTTTTCCTTTGGACTAGATGTGTCACGTTGTATGTTTTTGGATGTTTTTGGAATTCAGAACAAACTAGGAGCCATCCATTCGTAATCGAACTACACGAACATGATTTTGATTTTATAAAAGAAGCCATTCATCAGAGTCATGCGTTAGAGAATCGGACTTTACGCTTGCTGTATGTTTCACGCCGTAGAACGTGTAACTGTGCTGCGGTGCCGCTGAATAGTAGAGCAAGAAACACTGTCAGAGTATTTAGTACGGTGTTCGGTCCGCCACACCAGGCTCGAGAACCGTTAATAAACAACAACAATCACTTAATCGTGAAACCTTCAATCACGACAATAATTCAGTTCCGGTATTATAATAACATAAATAACATCTTAAATGTGTTGCGCTCCTTCTAGTTGTCATTAAGGCGACCTGTGTGAACGCCCACAAAAATAACACACGAACAGGAGTGTGTACACGCAATAGGCAGGTGCTGCCCGGCTTTGTTCTAAAACTGAGCTAAATAACAGCTTATCTCTCACCTCAACATCAACAGTATACACACGTGTCGGTCCTCTGTGTGCTGATGTCCGATGCGCTAAAGCTGCCCACACTGTCCCTCCATGCAGTCAATACACAAATACAGAAGTCATGCTGTTAGAACGCTGTCAAATGCCGCTCAGTTCACAGTCAGCGGAAACTCACGCCTGTCTGGACACAGTCCCGTGCGTCGGCGCGGCGCGGAGATTTCAACACACATGCGGCACATTTAAACCACGTAAGTGTGTAACTGCTGCGTCCAGCAAACCAACCAGCACGTAACACATCCACAACAATAACCGTGCGGATCCAAACCCGTTTTATTATCCACAGCTGGACCCGACTAAAAGAATCATTTGTTCAGAATCTACATGGATTCACTAAAAAGAATCGACTCTTTTCCTTTGGACTAGATGTGTCACGTTGTATGTTTTTGGATGTTTTTGGAATTCAGAACAAACTAGGAGCCATCCATTCGTAATCGAACTACACGAACATGATTTTGATTTTATAAAAGAAGCCATTCATCAGAGTCATGCGTTAGAGAATCGGACTTTACGCTTGCTGTATGTTTCACGCCGTAGAACGTGTAACTGTGCTGCGGTGCCGCTGAATAGTAGAGCAAGAAACACTGTCAGAGTATTTAGTACGGTGTTCGGTCCGCCACACCAGGCTCGAGAACCGTTAATAAACAACAACAATCACTTAATCGTGAAACCTTCAATCACGACAATAATTCAGTTCCGGTATTATAATAACATAAATAACATCTTAAATGTGTTGCGCTCCTTCTAGTTGTCATTAAGGCGACCTGTGTGAACGCCCACAAAAATAACACACGAACAGGAGTGTGTACACGCAATAGGCAGGTGCTGCCCGGCTTTGTTCTAAAACTGAGCTAAATAACAGCTTATCTCTCACCTCAACATCAACAGTATACACACGTGTCGGTCCTCTGTGTGCTGATGTCCGATGCGCTAAAGCTGCCCACACTGTCCCTCCATGCAGTCAATACACAAATACAGAAGTCATGCTGTTAGAACGCTGTCAAATGCCGCTCAGTTCACAGTCAGCGGAAACTCACGCCTGTCTGGACACAGTCCCGTGCGTCGGCGCGGCGCGGAGATTTCAACACACATGCGGCACATTTAAACCACGTAAGTGTGTAACTGCTGCGTCCAGCAAACCAACCAGCACGTAACACATCCACAACAATAACCGTGCGGATCCAAACCCGTTTTATTATCCACAGCTGGACAAAACCATCAGCCATCATCATCATCGTTTCAAAACCACATCGGCTCAGATCTGCCGCGGTCTCTTACCTGCGGTGCTGAAGCCGCTCTGTTTCCAGTCCGGACTCAGTCCGCCCAGAACCGCCGCCTCGAGCTGCAGCATCTCCATCCTCGTCAACCCTCACTAGAGAAATGAAACACGCGTCACGTCGCTCAAAACCTGCTCTGGCTGTGAATGTGAGATGTGAAGGGTTCGTGTGCTCACTGTGATGTGTTTGATTTCTGCCCATGTGCTGCAAGTGTCATCAGTGAGCAGCCATGACAGCGACGTGGTGCATTATGGGATACTTAATAAGGCAGCGCCGCTAAGGGAACGTCGAGATTTGTCCAGACGCTCAAATGGGCGCAACATAAAATCAGTATTGGATTACTGTAAATCTGTTACATGATTGAAATAATATCTGTTTTTATGCAAATTAGACGTATAATTAACCATTCTGTTGTCTTCTATTTTTAATGTAATCTATCTATATAATACTCAAATTCAACCCAAAGCTTTGTGACAGTTATTTGTAAATCTAATATTCGAAGTCCTATATGAACTTCACCTTTGCCTTTTTATTTATTTATTTATGAGTTATTTATTTGTAAATCTAATACTTAATTTCAGTAAACAAAATTAGTTTATATACTATCAGATTCCCTAATATTTTGTATTTTTAATGGACTTAAAATGTAGTTTGAAACTTATTAACTTGTGTTTGTGCTAACCATAGAACTCTAAAGCAATTCAAAGAAAGTGACAAATTAGCATATCAAAAAAGAAGAAAAAATTGCTTAAACTGAATGTTGAAAGAGTGAGTCAAAGATGATTCCTTTCTTTTTTTAAAGAAACTTTAATTCAGTCACTGAGCCATTTTCTTCTCATCATTCTTACTTTGAGATATTAATTATATCGATATCATATCTTTTTTCCAATAAAGCTTTTGATTATTTTAAGCAGGCACCGAGCTGTGAATATAAAGCTTCCCGTGCAGATGAACTCTATTAGTTCTACTTTGGTATGTCTGCACCAAATGACTGACTGTTAGCATAAGGGAACCTGAGGGGGCCGTTGACTCCTGTTCTGTCTCTCTCATGCCTCTAATGCTTCTGGCGGTAGTAGAAGGTCATTCTCTTTATAAAAATCAAGCAGATGATTCGTCTTGATTACACGGAGTGGCAGAGGACCACTGGAGTCCAGAAGGTTTGGCAGTGTGTAATGCGTGTTTGTATGAGTGTGTGTCAGATATAAGGAGAGACCCCTAAGGACAGGTCAAAAGTACATTCACACACTCAAATGCAGGATGATGTGTTGTATTAGACGTGAAATGACCACGATGGAAACCGTGACCCATTACAACACAACAAACACAACATTAAAGGTCAAATGCATTTGTGATCACATGCTCGCTTTGTACAGGAAATGTTGTTTCTGTATGTTTGTTGTTTTGGTGTAAGCTGTTTTTGTGCTGATTCCAACACTGCGCTTCAGTTTGTCAATTCCACTTAATTACATTCTATAGCTGTTTTCAATCACTCTTTCTCTCTCTTGAGCAGAGAGGAAAGGTAATTACAGAGGCAAGATATGGCTGTATTGTAACACTCATTAGCCTGATTTCTGGCTGTAGGACCAGAACCAGAATGCAATGTGAACTATGGGTTTCTTTATGTGTGGCCAGCATCATTTTATGATTTTTATTTTATTATAATATGTCAGCTAATTATACTTTCCTAGAAATAATGTTTTGATGATTGCTCAAATAATCAATATAAACATAGCAAAATGGACAAAACGGATATATATTTAAAGGGGTCATATGATGCGATTTCAATTTTTCCTTTCTCTTTGGAGTGTTACCAGCTCTTGGTGCATAAAGAAGATCTGTAAAGTTGCAAAGACTAAAGTCTCAAATCCAAAAAGATATTCTTTATAAAAAGTTAA